AAAAAAAACAACAGAAAAAAGCCAAGTGCCAGCCTGGAGAGTATTAACTGGTATTTACCGGCTGATTTGTCACTATTTCGGCCACACTTACTGTGTCTTGTCCAATCTCAGGCCAGAAACCAGAGCACCTATTTTCTACTTCATCTCTGGGGACTTCAGGCTGTGTTTGAAGCCCACCCAGGTCTCCAGGGTGGCTCCAGGTTCATTGGGAGCTGGCTGTGGTGCAGGACATATTCCCAGGCAGAGCTCCTTATGCTGGAATCAGGCTGGCTGCTACATCTAAGGGCATTTCTGGTATTTTAGTACACCACATTATTAATCCRCCCTCTTCTGAATTTTCAGTTGCCCAGCGCATCAAGGAGCTTGTGGATCTGAAAAACAAGAAGATCTCAAAATCCAGGAAAAAGAGGAAACAAAACACAGAGGATGAAGGTAAGGGGAGGCACAGGGACCCAAGAGAGAGGTCTGCACTGACTTTAGACAGGCAGCAATGCTGAGTTCTGCTGAAAATCAGACAACTTCTTTAAGAGCAGAGACTTGGATTTGGGAAAATTTATCTGGTGCGTGACTGGTGTGCAAGGTTAGGCCAGAGCATGGATCAGCAATGTGAGTGGCAGCTGGGCAGGGGCCTTTCAGTCACAGTTGTGTGAGTTTTGTGGGGGATTTTAATTTGGATGCAGACCTGGGGCTGTAATTCAACTGATCTGTGCATGCCATGGAGTTTCCTAGGGCTTATTCCGGTGTTAAAAGCCGTATGAGGCAGTGCATTGAAGAGAACCTGTCTCAGTTGTATTCATGGATTTTGTGAATCACTGCCTAAGCTGAGGCCCTTCAGGGAGGGTGCTGGTACCTGGTGAAGGACTCTGCCTTTTTCTCTCCAGAACTGGCTTCCCTTGCCCACGCTTTCCAAGCTCTGCAGCCCAGGGCTTGCACTGGCATCTGTACACAATGAAAAGGAGCTCATGCATTGCTCTGGACTCAGTTTAACTCCTGGCTGTAGGATAACCCTTTATCTGGCCAAAGTCTTGCTAGACAAAATCCATTTAATTTTTTATTTTGCTTTCAGGAAACTTGAGTTAACCCTGTGAATTCCTCTCAGGCAGCAGCTGATATAAAGTGGTTTCAAGTGTTTTTAKTCTGTGAGAGTTGGAGTCCAGCTTCCTGCATTCCTGAGCCCTCCCTGACACAAGCTGCTCCCTGTGGTGGCTTGTCTGTGTCATTGCTGTGTCCCCTGTGTCACAAGGCAGYTGCAAATCAGGGCAGGGGCTCAGGACAACCCTGGGTTGAAGCTCCTGCATGAACAGTGTTCATTGTTTATCTGTCTCTGGCAGGATTCAGAGCAGAGACCTGAAATTGCACAGATGGATTACATTTCTGGAAYGGATATGTGTTTTTTTCTCTCCTGTTCAGACCCAGGAGAATTCATGCCATTCTGAGCCTTTGAAAATTCATTTTGCTTGTGCTCAGAGGGACTTAGACATCTTTATGGGACAACTCCATGGAGATTGCTCTGTGCAGGRCATGCTGCCTGTGGGCTGAGCAGGCTGTTCTGTGTAATTATATGTCTATATAGCATGTGCTGGAGATGTGCTTTGGAAAACAGGTAGTTTTTACCTAAAAASAAACATTAAATTTAAAATTAAAAAAACAAAACCAAATATCAGCAATTGGAATCCTTGTAGGTCTCTTCCAATTCCGGATATTCTGTGTAGCCTCTGATACATAGTTATATATACATGAAATATTATGAAAACAGTGTGCCAGGATAACTTTATAAAGTTTCCAGAAAGTCAGCTGTGCCTGTGTGRCCTCAAGGGGGGCTCTGGTGACAGGTCACACATTCTGTTCCCTTCCATAGAATTGCAGAATCATTCAGGTTGAAAAAAAAATCCGCTAAGGTAACCAACTGTTCCCACAGCATTGCCAAGAGCACCACTAAACCATGTCCCCAGGTGCCACATACATATGATTTTTTAATACTTCTAGGGGTGGCAGTTCCACCACTGCCCTGGGCAGCCTGTGTTCCAATGCCTAATTACCCTTGCAATGAATAAACTTTCTCTTATATCCAATCTAAATGTTCTCTTATGTCCAATCTAAATGTCCCCTGGCACAGCTTGAGGCTGTTTCCTCTTGTCCTGTGCTGGAGCCTGTCTGCCCTCTGGCCAGGGGCTGCTCTGGCAGGGATCAGGCTATGAGCTGTTCAGTTGGGGTTCAGCAGAGGAGGCAGCAGGGCTGACAGCTCACTCAGAACAGCATTTTCACAATGACTGATAACTCTGAGGACTTCTTCTAGAGCCTGACCTCAGAACTACACCTGAAGTAAGGGGAAATCTTACAGAACATGCCAGATTCTATCTGCTGCTGGCTAGAAAGGTCAGGTTTTCCCCTGGAACAYCTACTTCTGTTTGACCAGCCCTGCTTGCCAGTTGTATGAGGGGTGGGTRGGATGCAGCTCCCTGAAGCTGCAAGGCTTTGTGAGAAGTTCCTAAGTGGCTCTGAAATATTAAGATGCTTATGGATGATGTAGCAGCAATTTAGCAGAGAAATCTATAAGGAAATCAAATGTACTGACCTCAGTCAGAACTGAATAGAAGATAARTAGGCAGCTATCTAAGTCTTTCTGTGAAAAGTTGAGTTGAAGCAGTGATTCTCCACATATATGCACATACTCCATCCTGTCCAGAAACTCATCGGTKAGTAACCATTGACCATCTGACATACACCCAAAGAAAGAATTCTGAGAGCTCCCACACATAACTTCTGCAGTCTTCATCTTCTAGCTTAATTCCCTGTGAGTAAATGAAATATGAATGTGGTGCGAGTTCTTCTCATTCATCAATAACCTGTTGAAAGGCAGAAGAATAACAGGTAGAAATAAATGCTGTGTTTTCAGAAGGATTGCCTGCTGATCCTGCAGGAATGTAAGCTAGTCTTTGGGTTTATACAAAGAGACAAATCATGAGCTCTCAGCTCAGTGTTGATACAAAATTATTCAGGACTTTGAAAATGAAAGGTGCAAAGGGATCTGACAAGGGTGAGGAACAGAGCAGTCAAGCAGCAGAGAATATTGTGYCACCAAAAGCCAAGTTTTTTACATGGAGGAAAGATCCCTGACTGCAAGTGCAGGTGRAGGTCCTGATTGAGCTGTTTTGAGGAGGGAAGGGCATTTTCCAGCTCATATATGAATTTCCAGAAACACATACATGTTGCTGGGAAGTGATCAGAAACCAAAACAAGGATTGGGAGCTTGAATGAAAGGGACAGAGAGCAAAGCAGCTGGAGTTGGTTTAAGTTGTGCTGTACCCACTCTCTGTCCTGCCCAGGGTCTCTCCAAGACTGATGAGTGAGGCAGGAAAGGTGGCATGTGAGCTGGACCTCRAGGAGGGAAGAGGGGAGAAGGTCAACAGGATGAAAGAAACTTAAGGCTACCTGGGGAAAGCAAGAGGAAAATTTCTCACATTGTACCATAGCAGCAGAACTAAAAGCTGGCCTGGTTTTGGTATTGGGCAGCAGGCTCAGGAATACTCTGTCCTGAAGCATAGAATAAAATCCTGAAGGGTTGGCAAAGCAGGGTGGTGTGCAGGTCCTGAGCATAAAGAGGTTTAGGAAGAAATGGGGCAAACACAAGAAGGGAAGTCTGTCTGTTGATGGTTAATGGTCCACGTGCAGCACTGCCTTAGTGTATTGCCCACTGCTGTTAGCTGGGAGCTCTTTTAAGCAGGATGCTAATTCTTCAGACATCCTGTTTCTTATCTTGGTGACAGGTGCAGATTGCTGGCTTATCTTGCTGATGAACACAGTATTTCCCATATAGAGAATCATGATCAAGGAGCATTGTTAGGATGCAGAAGGAAGMACTGGTGGTGTGAGAAAGACAAGTTAAGCAGTGCTGTAAAATGGGGATGCCTGGATGGATCTGAGTCAGGAAAGCAGCACTGCTGGTGCCCAAGCCCAGCTGAGCTACTCAGGAGCATCAATCCCTGTTCTACAGAGTGCAGAGAGATGGGATCCTGGTCTGACAGACTGCTCTGGCTGTACCAGGCTGAAGTCCAAGAAGCTGTGGTAGATCAGAGAAATATCCAGACAACAACTTCTCTAGTGCTAAAATACACATCTCATGGCCAGGTCCTGAATCCACACTGCTGCATTTTAAAGATTYTTTTTCAGGAAAGCATTTTAGTCTGTTCAGAAGGTATGTTCCTGCATGTGTCCTGTCTGGATTTTGACTTTTTCTAAAAGGAGGGAYTCTTTTAGATGCTGTTCACATTCTAGACTGGGATATGGAGAAATATTTTCCTTTGAAAAGTATTTTTCACTGTGTGGTCTGCTGGTAGTCACCTGTTCCTGAGCTCMTGAGGCTCCTGTGATACCACACGGAATAACCAATCATCTTGGATTTCTCAGACTCATGATGTGCTCACAGAAACGGAATTGCCTTCAGGCTCAGCCCTTTCCAGGTGGTGCAGACAAAGCTGCTGGGCCCTACTCCAAGAGGAGGGAGCTGTGGAGGGGATATCTGGCCCACACGTAGGGAGACCTGAGCGTGCATGATGAGCTCAGTGCTAGGAGTCAGTCTCTAGCTGAGCCTTCTAAAAGTGGCAGATGGTTGGGACAGGTTGCTGGTTTGGAAAAGCTTAGGCTAAAGCTAAATTCTGCTCTTCTCCCTCACATTYCTTCCTGCAGCTCAGCGTGTGCCTCCCTGCTTCTCCGTGTCTCTCTCCATCCCACTTTGAACGTGCCCCAGAGCCAGGAGTGCTTTGTGTCAGGGCAGATTCCTTCCACTCTGGAGCAGGGAGGCTGTGTGGTGGGAGCCACTGGTCAGTGCCCACCAGGGCGAGTGCTGCTCACCCTGTTCCTCAGGGCTCCTACTACTTTTTTGGCCATTCAGGTCTGTGAGCAGTAACTCCTCCAGCCTCTTGTGCATGTAGCAAGTTCATTTTTCAGTTGCTTCAGACTTGGTCTCCTTCATGTATGACCCCAAGAGGCCCCTTTGGATCAGAGGCTGCAGCATGGTTATCACAGGAGCAGGAGGCCTTGCTGTGGAAAGTGCTGCATGTAGGTTTTAGGCTTTTCCCAGAGCCAGGGAGCTTCCTGRGTAAATACAAAACAGGCTCCAAGGAAATGTGTCTGACTGCTGCTTATGCATCAGCCATGCAGGCTCTGCAAGACACCAGTTCCTTTGCAAACATTGTTAAGCTTCTGGGGTGATTATGGGTGTCACGGTCTAATTACAGTGTGAAAAAACATTTCCTATTATTAGTTTGAATGTGCTGCCTCCTGCATAATTGCTGGAATGCAGAGACACAGTCCAGCCTCTTTCCCTTCCCCTCTGAGAAGGGTGATGCCTTTCTTCGGGGTGTGTCTCACATTGGACAGCAGAAGCTGTAACTTGGGATGGTGAAGCATCGCAGGGCAGCTCATTGGGTTTGTTCCCTTTAATCCTTAGACATTTACCATTATGTCATGGCTAGGATTAGCAGGATTTTTGCTTACAGTGAATATTTTGCTTTAGATTCCCAAGAGAGAAATTCCTAAAACTGGCTTTCCTTCCCATTGCCTGTGGGAGATGGAAATGGTGTTGTACCTCCTCTGGTGTGGCTCCAGTGGTGTGGAGAGGCTCTGCTCCGTGAGGCAGATTGATGGAGTCAGGGGGTGCTTGTTTCATGAAGAGGAGCCAAGGACTGTAGCTTGTCTGCTACATATCTTCCACCCCTGGGAACTGTTCTGCTTAGGAAGAGTTTGTCCTCCCCCTGCACTGAGAGGATTTGAAGACTTCCAAGCTCCTAGCCAGTGTACCTAAGCTATAAGAGGTGTTTAAAAGTCAGATGTCAAACACAGTATCTGACCAGAATGTAGACTTTCAAAGGCACAAGTATTTGAACTGTGCTGCAAGCTTTGGGCCTGGCAGGGAATCAAATAGGGCAGATCTATTCACTGCTTTCAGCCAGCAGTCTGGGTTTTACTTRAACAAGAACAAAAGGCCAATGATTTTGGAAAAACTCTCCCAGCAATCAGTGCTCTGTCATTGCAAACATTTCTCTTGGTGTCACGGGGGGATTAGCTCTGTGAATTGTGGCTGTACTTGCCTTCAGAGTTCACTGAACCAAGCACAAGCAGAGCAGCTGCTCTTGTGGAGGACAGCAGCTTTTGAGGTTCCCAAGCTTTGGTGTGTCCCATTTCCCTTGTCTTGTAGAGCATGCCTGAGCTGCACAGTACAAGCTGGGGTTGGAAAAGGTTGCAGGCGGGAATAKGAGGAGGTCTTTGGGAAGATGAGATCTCATCGCCTCTCCTTGTGACCTGAGGTCATTGTTAGTGCTGGTGCCTCTCTGTCCCCACATACTTTTCTGTGCTGCTCCTCTCTTACAAGCAAAGGAACTGAAGTTCTTGAACTATAAACAATTGGTCTAATTCACTCTGAAACCTTCCCTGACAGAAGGCTGACTGTGTGCTCTGTGGTTGTGGTCTGGCAGGGTGTAATTACCTGGCCCTCTGTCCATGAGGTGCCTGACCCTGGCCATGCCCACCAGGTGTGTACCCAGGCTGTGAATGCAGAATGGGTGCCATGCAGAATGGGTGCCATGCAGAATGGGTGCCATGCAGAATGGGTGCCATGCAGAATTGGTGCCATGCAGAATGGAGTCAGGGTGGGGCAGGTGCACTCCAGGTGAAGGAGGAGAGCTGGAGACCTGCAGGAGCAAAGCTAGGAGGTGCAGAGCTGTGAGCCTTCACTCAGGAGATGAATATTTCCAAGCCCAAGCACTGGTTGGCACYGACACTGCCTGCCATGGGACTGGGAGGCTTCAGGGTGCTTGGTGTGAGTTTTGTCAGTCCTGCCCTGCTGCAAGGGCCGTGCAGGGAGGGGGCTGTTTGTGCTGCTATGAGCTGCTGTGCTGGAGCTCTCCAAAGGGCTCCACTGTGGGGTGCATGGTGCTGTGGACTGACTGCTCATTTCCTCTTTCCCACCAGGTCTGCCCATTAGCACCTTTGCCAAGTACTGCTACAGGAAACTCCAGAAAGTAGCTGTCACTGGAGGCAAAAAGGTGAGCAGCTGTCCTGGCTGCAGGGCCTGGGGCTGCCTGGGGGGCACTCTGCTTCCTGGGCCCCTGAGCAGTGGTCTGGGGGCTCTGGAGGTCAGCACTCATTCAGTGATGGAAAACGGTGATAGAGTGAGTGGGAGAGGCTTGCTCAGAGTACAGCTCCTCATGAATGTGTCAGAGAGGGCAGCTGCCTGTGTCCCGCCATCCTCCTGGCAGACAGTAGTGCCTGCTGTGCTGGCAGCTGCATGGCTGGGTGCTTTCTGACCCGAGGAACAGAGACAAACCCAACATTTACCTGTCTCTAGTGTAAAAGGACCTGTCTATGCAGGGGATGCCTATCACTTCATTTCCTCAGGTGAGGCAAGTCACCATTTGCCACTGAGAGCTTGTATGGGCTGGATCTGGCAGCTGGATTRCTGCAGAGTTGTTCATTCCCAGTTCAAACAGCCACACAGCAGAGATGGCTGGTGCAGAGGGGAATCTGCTCTGTGTTATCTGAAAATATTCCTCCCTTCYCTCTGCATGCTTCTGAGTGAAATGAAAACGGGTAGGTGGCCTCAGCCTGTCAGTTCTAGGTGCCCAAGCCAGATCTGGTCATCAGGGTTTTTTTGCAAATTCTTCTGGGGCCTCCCTGCCATCCGAACTTCATGTACAGCAAACAAATAGCTGAAATACCTTGAGAGGGGTGAAGGCTTCTGKCATYCCAGCAGGGGCAGGACTAACACATGGCACACAACTGCAGCCCTGGGCACTACCCCTTCTCGGTGGAGCTTCCCCCAGTCACATTCCCCACTTGGCCACAGGATCAGTGCTGAAAGCCACCATGCTGGGCAGCCTGTTGCACTGTGACAGCTCTGTGCTTCTCCAAACTGCTGCCTCGGGATATTCAAAGCCCCTTTCAGGTGTTGGTGTTTGTCAGAAGCAACAGGTACTAATGCCCACTTTTCAGAGATTTAGCACCTCTGAGAGCAAAGCTTTCCCTGGAGTTGGAAATAGCTGGAATTCCCATCTCCAAAGGGCTGTTTTTCACCTGTCCCCTGGCTGAGCACTCTCCTGGTGCAGGGCTGGGATACAGGTACCCTCTGCTGACCTCACTGTGGCCCGGGCTGGGCTGGTCTCTGCTCCATCCTCACTTCTGGTGGAGCTACAGCTGGACCAGTGCCCTCACTGAGCAAAACACAGCAACAGAATCTCTGCAAAACCAGCCCAAACTCTCCAAAGTGGCCTGCTCTGCTCCTCTTGGGCCTGATGAGTAGAGCCACCCCTGATTTTAGGTGGCAGAACAAGAACTGTGCCACCAGGAGTCTGGTGAGGTGACCATGTGCACAGTCAGCCCTCTCTGTCCTGGTCACTCACYGTCCCCACCCCCAGGTCACTCTTTCTCTGTGGGCTGGCTGTGTCATGTGTTCACTGAGCTTTTCTGTGTCCTCAGGGCCTCCGCAAACCAACAGTGGAAGAGATAGCACATGCCAGGAATGCCATYGTCACGCCATCGCTCTTCGGCAGCTCCCTGGAGGAGATCATGCTGCGGCAGCAGGACATGTACCCRGGGAACAAGCTGCCCTGGGTGCAGACACAGCTATCGCAGCAGGTGCTGGCCYTGGGAGGGGAACAGACAGAGGGCATTTTCAGGTGAGTTTTTGGGGTGCTGTGCTACTTCTGAGCCACCCACATGTCAGTCCTCAAAGCCACGGAGTCAAGATTTATCTCCACATGCTTCCTCTTCCCTGAGAGAAGCACTTTGCTGTGGACTGGACAGAACCTGACTTTCCCCAGGTTCAGGAATCACCTCTTGAAGTAGCATTAGTCTGTTTACATGTGTTAGCACAGAGGGGGCTGGTGTAGGCGTGACTTAACCACRTAGACAGTTCATCCCCAGGCAGGGCAGTGAGCTTTCATCAGATTTGGCAGTGGTGGCTGGTCAGTGTAGGGGAGAGAGGAACTCGGGGGTCCTGGCAGAGCACCTCATCTAGTGCAGCACATCAGCGTTGGTGTTGCACAAGACAGGAGGTGTTGAGAGGCACAGAATCTGTGTGGTGAATGAACACAGGGGATTCTGCTTTGGGTTTGCTTTCTCTTTGCTGTTTTTTTTTGTGTGGGGAGTTTTGTTTTGCATCTAAGATTTGTATTAGTTTTTCAGTAGCTAAACTTGATTTAAGGTAGCCATTAAAAGGCTCAACTTTGCCTTATAAGGGTATATTTTTTACATATATGTGTATATATATGTATATTTTTTACATATATGTGTATATATATATGTATATTTTTTACATATATGTGTATATATATGTATATTTACATATATATATATTTAGCCAGAGATGCCACTCATCTTTGGTCTGAACAGGCTTCAGAGAAGCCTGGTTATAGAAAATAATCACTCCTGAGGACAGCGATAGTTGATACCTCAGCTAGTGGGAACCCCACTTTAAGACTGTGTATAAAAATAGGCACCCTCTTCTCTCTGAGGAGTTGCCACTGGTGCTGAGGTCTTCTCCCTGCTCCCTTCTCCCTGCTCCCGTCCCCCTGAGGCCCCAGCAGCAGCTTTGGAGCCATGCTTTGCTGGCCAGCTGCCCCACCAAGCACATTCTCASTCTCACACACAAGCTCACTCTCAAAAGGCCCTTTTTTGTGTCTCTGTTTGCAGGATACCTGGTGACATAGATGAAGTCAATGCATTGAAATTGCAGGTGGATCAATGGAGAATCCCAAGCAGTCTCAGTGACCCCAACATCCCAGGTACAGGAATGTGGCAGGTGTGTTGCTGCAGACTCAGCCATGGTGCAGTGTGGAGGGGCCAGGTGCAGTTCAGTGGTGTGCTGCTACTTGGAAATGTACAGATGCTGTCTGCACTGACTGGGATTTTATTCTGTGTCTTTTCACTGCCTCTCCAAACATTGCCCATACAAAAAACACTGTGAGTGAGGAGGAACCTCTCACTCTGATGCAATAAGGCTGTGCARGGTGGGCAGAGTGGTGGGAGTCCTTCAGGTCTCATTGTCCTCTTCTTTAGGCAGCCCCAGAGCTGCTTCCTGGAGGAGCAGGTAGGTAGCAGCCAGTGTTTCCCACTACCTGGCCAGTTTGGCTGCTGGAGCATTTCAGAGCTGAATTAAGGTGAAGCAGCTCAAGCACAGMATCCCTTTTCTGCCGTCTGTCTCACTGCCAAGTTACCTGTGAAGGGGGTGGGGAAGTGACCGSAACTGTTCTCATGCATCTGCTTTCTGCTCAGCCTCTCTCCTCAAGCTCTGGTATCGGGAGCTGGAGGAGCCTGTGATCCCCCAGCAGTTCTACAAAGAGTGTATCAGCAACTATGAGAACCCCGATGCTGCCGTGGCTGTGGTGCAGCTTTTGCCAGAGCTCAACAGACTGGTGCTGTGTTATCTCATACACTTCCTGCAGGTAGGGAGCCCCCACAGCCCTGCACTGGGGCCAGAAGCATGTGAAGCACAGTTAATGGGACATCAGCAGGGTTTTAGGACCATTTATGTGTATTTAAGGTGGGATTGATGGGGGGGGGGGGTGGAATCTGCTGGCCTTGTCCCTTATGGGAGCAATAAACCCTGTTCCTGATCCTTGCAGAGTCTGGGTCCAATTTCCTGTTTACCAAGACTGCTTCTCTGTGAAGAGAAGTGCTCTTCCCTGGGGATGTGTGGCTCTTGGGGCACTGTCCTTAAGGCAGGCTTTATCTCTGCTCCTCACACCTTTTCTTGGGCTGCATGTTTGGACTCCTTTGCCCTTTTCCACTGCTCCATCTGATGTGTTTTTGCTATTTGCAGATCTTTGCTCAGCCATCAAACGTGGGTAGAACAAAGATGGATGTGAATAACCTGGCCATGGTGATGGCCCCCAACTGCCTGCGCTGCCAGTCCGACGACCCTCGCGTTATCTTTGAGAACACGCGCAAAGAAATGTCTTTTCTCCGCATGCTGATAGTGCACTTAGACACGAGCTTCGTTGAAGGGCTGGTTTGAGCCACTGCCCCCAGGGTGCAAAATGTTGCTCTGGATTGCTAGATACCTTAAGTCTTCTCCCCTCCATGTAGGTTTCTTCCATTGTCCTTGCTGTCCACACCCTGGGTTAGCCCTTGAGCATCTCCCAGCATATGACCCCAAGGACTGGACATTTCTGGAAGGCTTGGTTCTGTCAGCACCAGGAAATCCTCGGGCTTGCCAGGTCAGCTTCAGCAGCTCCTAGTCTTCTAGTATGTGTCAGAGAGGGGCAGCCCTCTTCCTGAGAGTTACACCATTGGTTGCTCAGGGCTGTGACATGTGTGAGGAACTGCTACATGAGGCAATGAGATTCTCCATTTCCCTTCTGGAGGCAGMGTTGGCTTCAGGTAGGAGAACATCACTCCTGTGCTGTGGCATTAGCTGGTCCTAGGGAGAWGCTGCCTCATTGGGGATAATCCTACTGCTATGGGGACAGTCTGGTTCACCTCTGCACTGTTGGCTGGAGGTGTGAGGGTTATTCTGACATCCCCCATAATGCTGTTGGTAGAGGGCTGTGAAGGTGGAGAGCTGTGCAGCAGCATGTRGGACCAGCCCTGTGCTGAGCACACCCCCACACCTTGGTGCTAGGCACAACAGGAAGGCCACACACCTGACAACAAACAGGTAAACAACCACTTCAGCATCTTCTTAATGAGGGCCATATCCTCTGGAGGGGTGACGCCAGTGGCCTTGCAGCTCCTTTTTGCTATGGACAGCRTGAGCTGACACCAGCTTTGCTTAGGAGTGCCTGAGCCCATGCTCAGAGCAGCTTTCACAGCTCCAGCACCCCCTTCCTGGGATCACATCCTTCCCAGACCTCTCTACCAGGAACTGAATAYCAGTTTGGCCCACCATTCTGGTTCAGCGCAGGTCTAAAAAAACCTGAGAAAGCTCCCAACAGTCAGAAGTGCTCCTATGCTCAAATGTGCCCTTCCAGGCAGAGCAGCAGCAATGCATTGAGAAATGCTGGTACTGTGTGTAGTCAGCTGTGGTACCTATGCTCTTCCTTTGAGGTGTTTCCCTTGCTGGAGGCAGGTGTGCTGCAAAGAGGTGTGTTTTGGGATTACTGAYGCAGTGCTGAGTCTGCCAGTAGCATCCAAGGTTGCAATTGTGTTTCTGCATCCCACTCTCTTTTCAGTGGGGATCTGGGATCTTCCTCTCCAGACTGTATGGATGCTGAGCCCTGCCAAGAATGAGGTTTAGAGCTGATGCCTGAATCAGTACCAGTGTGAGCACGAGGTGTTATGTGCAGAGTGTCCCAAGCCTGCTGACTTGCTTGGGGCTGTGTGAGAGGGTTCCCAGAGCCTGTGTTCAGATAGGTTTGGATGAACTCCAGAGCAGGAATTGTCTGTGCCCAGCTGAATAAAGATTCCTTGTACCAGATGCTTCTGTGGGCCAGGAAGTCTTGCTCCCATGTCAGGATTAGCTCTGTCAAACATTTCCCCTCAAATGTGCCAGCATCTGTTTCACRTACACACCCATCCCACACTTCARTGCCACTTGGCTTGCTCTGGCATTYTACAGTGCTGAACAACTTGTTCTTCAGATGTGGAGCTACTGCCCCAGAAATGTAGAGAGAGGCAGAGGTTACCAGCTCTGCCATGCTGTCCTGAGATTTGAATCGCTGAACAGGCTCGGGGTGTCCTGTTCCCCTCCAAGATCTGGAGCAGCCATGTGACACCTGCCTTCCTCTTGGGGCTGCAGGTGTCTGTGCCTGTGTCAGGCTTCACCTGCAGCCCCTGCAGAGGTGATCCATGTTACTCCTTGCACTTAGCTGTGGCAGTCAATCAAAGCATAGGCATTTGCTGCTAAGACAAGTGAGTGCTTCTGGCCAGGGCTGTGAAACACCCTGAAAAAARGACACTGGGATATTACTGTCTTTGTCAACAGATTTGTAAATACCAATCAGTAATGTAGCCTTTCCTCCATTCTAATAGTAATAAATACAATTTMCATGGTTGTCTCTTTTGTGAATTGTCTTTTTTGTGAATTTCTGAAGCACACTTACRTCTGCTTGCACATTTCAGCCTGAATGTCAATGCCCATGATAAGATTTGGGAATCAGCATGAAGTAAGCACTTGGAAGCCGTACTYTGGGCTGATTCTGTTGTTCTTCATTCTAAGGCAGCTACTGAGGGACACTGAATGAATCTTGGAAGAGAATGAGTTGAAACATATAAGACGATACTGCTTTACATACATCTTCTGGAGCCTTTCAGTCTCATAAAGATATGACAGAAGTTTATGGATAGCTGGAGGGTAAGAGATGGATGTTCTGCTTGTGTCCCTCCTCTAGCAKCTGGGAGTGCTGCAGGTGGGCTGCAGGAGGTGGCCACATAGGCATCCTGTGCATGGTCCCCTGTGTGACAAGATGTGGTCAATTGTGCTGTTAAACTGATCTAATGGGGACATTTTCATGTTCAGACTGGAGCAATCTCTTATTATTTCTCCACTGGTAGTCCAAGGAASTGCTGGGAGCAATCTGTTGGTGCTCCAAACTGGTGCTGTTTGCACAGTGTGGTGGGGCTGCAGGGCATTTGCTGGCTGTGCCACTCAGCCACACAGGAATCAGTTTCTGCCCAGGCTCTGGCTCATGCTGCTGGTGCTCTGGGGGTGATCACTGTCCTGTCAGACTGGGAAAAGCTGGTCCACTTCAAAGGCAAGGAGGGCTGCTGTGTCATACCAGCTGGCCAAATCACTGGGTCTTCCCACCAGTCTGGCTGGCAGAAKGGCTGTTGGTAGCCTGTATGACAAGTGAGATCAGAAGGAAGACCAGGAACATTGTAATCTCATATAGCCCTTTCCTAGGGGGATGTCTGCAGCCCAATTTCTGAGTGTTCCCCAAAGTTTTGCTGTGAAATGCGCTGATTTTGGCCAAATCAGAAAAGCCCACAAATCAAATGCTTCAGCTCAAGCTCTAAGACTTAGGCTTATTCCTGTAGTCACCACGGCCTGGTACCTGCATCAYGTAAAAAAGTGATAGCCAGAGCAGCAGCTGGGCTTGGAACAAGCTTGTGSTTTGTTCTGGGCTTCCATGAACAGTGCACTTGGGCCCTGTGCCAGAGGGCTGCTTGGACACAGCTCGTGTTTCTGGCTCCTTGTGAAGAGGCACRAGTGGCTTGTCCATGACTTGCTGCYKGTTGTGAGAGTGTRGTGTGTCCCAATGTGGCCAGCACTCTGGCCATGCTCTTGCTGTTGSTGTTGGATTTCTGACTGGTTTGAGTCTCCTTTTCAAAGAGCCTTGCAAGAGCTTTTTGCTGTGTCTGCGAATGGAAGTGATAAAAACAATTCCAACAGCTGCTGGTGGCAGCTAATAGACACTGTGCCCTCAGATGTGCTGCCCATGTGGCACCTCGGCTCCTGAAGAGCTTGGGCAGATGTTGGGGATCACAGGTGGGTTTTGGACCTGTCTGTAGGTTCAGCTTGAGATAGAGGAAGGGCATAGATTTGGCAGTTGCCTGATGTTTTACAGGACAGGGCAACCCCAAGGCCACCCCTCCTGGTAGAGAAGTTTTYTGCTGTCTCTCCTCCCCTTGCAAATGTGAAGGGTCTCTCTGCCCTTACCCACCAGAGATACTCCATTTCTCTCTCAAACCAGAGAAGACCAGAGATTCTGCCACCTCCTCAAAACTCATGGGTAGTGGGATGCCAGTTTTTAGCATAATTCTCMTGCAGATTTTTAGTCTAATCCTTACATGGAGCTTTGCTGAATCAGCCCTGYGGGAAGGCAGAGACCAGAGGAACGGGCAGGCCTGCATTGGGAGCCCTGCAGCACTCCTGTCCTGACCCTGGTTTGATGTGCACACAGCACTGGTTTGATGTGGGTGCAGAAAGATTCAGCAGAACTGGCTCGTGGAGACAGTGCCGAGCTGGGGCTGTGCAAAGCAGGGCTCTGGCTCTGGAACACCCCTGGACTGTCTGCAGGACACCCACCAACAGTAAGATGGGAAAAGCTGATGTAGCTGCTGAGGTTGCTGCTTTTAGAGCTCCTGTTGTCCTACACCATTCATGGCAAATGGTGGAGAGAACTGGGTGTGGGTACTGTGGGCTGGTGAAACCAGCTCAGACATTTGTCAYCCTATGATGAGGGAATAGGAAAGAGCATGGTTGTTCTAAGTGAGGTGGACCACAYAGGGACCCTGCCAGAGTTGAGCACTTACAGGTGGCCATGCAGGAAAGCTTTTGGGACACATGGAGTCGCTCATCAGCTGTACTGCTCCTTCCAAAGCAGGGGACACGAGCTGAGGACTCTGTCCAAGCCACAGTGATTTGAACCTCCATCTCCCACCCCAGCCTCCGCCTGGACCTTCCTCTGTCTCACCATGTAAACTATCCATTTTGTCTGAAGTGCTTAATGTTTGCTGGTATCATAAAGGGAGCTTGTGTCTGAGGACTGGAAGACTGTGTGACCTCAGCTGTCAGGGCTGGGTGCTGGCAGGGATCGAGGCTCAAAGCTTTGAAGGTGTTCAGATGCTCAAGGCTGCTCTCAATAGCTGTAGCTTCTCTCAAAAGAGAACTAGTGGGTTATGTCAGCTCATCTCTGCTTGCAGACACATTTCCTCCATCCCCTCAGTGCCACTCTGATCTTTTGCTCAGATCAYGTGCAAGGCAGGAGACGGGTGGGTGGTGAGGGATGTAGAGGGTATGGAATGGAGGAGGGAGGGGGGCCATCCCTTTTCAGTGAACTGCTGGATTGCTGCAGCTGYGATGTTCAGTTTCCCTGAAATGACCTGGCCTTGGTGCCTGCTGGGGAAGACRAGGGCACTGAAACTACAAAGAGTTCCCAAATACTAGGCTAGGATGTGCCCTGGTGGGTGCTCCCTCCCCACTCTGGGCATGTCAGCCAGACTTTGTAACCCCAGGAACCACAGAAAGACCTGTAGAGCCTTGTCTGTAGGTGGACAGCCCCAGAAGGGATGAGAAGGTGAAGAATCTACCGCCTTCTCCCTTCTCCCAGCTAAATCAGCAGGGCTGTCTGGGTGCAGTGATGTAGAAGGGCCTGCTTGTTTGTGTGTCCCTCCCAGCCAGTCCCTGCATGGGGCTGTGCCAGCTCTGGCCAAGGGCACAGCTGAGGGTGCTGATGGTTCACTGGGCCTGCTCCTTGCAGGCATTGCCCTGCCACGAGTGCAATTGTCACTGCTGGCATGTGGGGCTGCCAGCCACCACGGGCAGTGCTGGAGCTGCTGAGCTCAGGGCCAGCTCCCCAACAGCACCACTACAGCCAGGCCCTTGAGGGGAAGGAGCTGAAGGACATCTCACTGGGAACTTCCTCCATCTCTCAGAAACATTGCCTCATCACAGACCCATGCCCTTGGGTCTCTGCCKGAGCTGGGTCAGCCATTTCTGTGATGATGTGGATCCTGGTCCCAGCCCATACACTGACTTCCTCCCCTGACCTGCCTCATCACTGTGGGATTTTTTGGTGCTCATCTGGTCACTGTCACTGTCCCTTCTTTGCTCCCATTTACCACTGGCCTGTCCTGTGCTGGGTAGGGCAGTGCCCTGCCAGCTCAGTTCCTGCTCACCTGTCCTGTCACAGTTTCTGTTGCTCCCTGACAGTGAGTCCTGTGGATTACACAGCTCTGCTCATGCTGAGCATAAATAAAGCTTTAAAGGTGAGACCTGAACTCCTTCCCACAGAAAGCACAGAAGGTCCCAACCCATCCTTCCACTCGCCCAACAGCAAAGCTTGCTAAACAAGACAAAAATGCTGGCTACTCCTTGCTTCCCTATCTCAAATTCCCTATAAAATCTGGTCTCAGCATGACAGAGGCTGAAGAAGGGAAGATAGGACAGGTTACAGAAGGGAAAATATCCAGAGACAGTATGGTCTGGCTTGAAGAAAGCACAAACGAGGCCTTGGAAATAAACTCTTTGTTGCCAGCACAAGGATGTGGTCTGTGTTTATTGTATAGGGGCTATTCAGCTCTCTAGTCACAAACCTTGCTTGCCTCAGATGAGCTTTGGGCACTCTGGCCTGGACTGGAGGGATGGGCTGTTGGGAAAACTATGGGTCCATGGAAGGGAAAGTATCCTCAGTAGCAAAGCTTTCCTTTCCGCCTCGGGACGTGGGTGGCCTTTGAAAATTCTCTTTGGGCACTGGTGCAGGCCCAGCTTGACTGATCCGTTCTAATACTGAGTCAGCRATATGATTTGCCATGGTCCTTATATCCAAAGTATTGGCGAAGGCTGTTGACTCTCGGCTCACAGATGCCCTGGGAAATCCTTGTCCTGCTTTCGTGCTCTGCCTTGGAAGTGTCCGGGATGGCTGCACTTGTCTGTTGGAGAAATTTTCCCCAGGAGGCTTTAGGATTTCAGTGTACTCAGAGCTAGTGTCTTGTTCAAACTGAGAAGTTACAAGGGTTTCCAAGGTGCGGTGAACACTCTCAACAAGTTCTCCGGTGAGTTTGTCAAGGGAAGCCTGTGAAAGTGCTCTGTCCAYAGTGGCTGTTTTTATGTCCTTGGATTTGTCTGCTTGGGTGGCTCTTCCATCAATTGATTGCTGTTTCTGCTTGGCTGCCCTCCCTGKCTCAGAAGCTTTGGATGTGCTGGATGCCAGACGCTCCCCCAAGATCTCCAACACTGTGGCTACAAGCTCTTTCGCCATTACTTCCATTTTCTGACGGTGATCTAGAGAAGTGTCCGAATATTCTACTTTCATGCAGCTGCCTARAAGTCTTCTTCTGATTCCCTGGGCAGTCCTCTGTAAAAAGCTGACTTTCTGATTCCCAGGAATCTTCAGCCTCTCCAACACTCTGTGCACCACAATCTCAGCCAGCTCKTCAAGCTTCTTGGCTTCTGCTGCAGTTGGTTGCTCCAACGCAACATCTGACAGGCTATTGGCAATGCTATCTGACTTCTGGGCGTCAGCAGGTGTGCTGACCCTCCTGGGCAGCTCGGCATCCTCCTGGTCCAGCTCGGCATCCTCCTGGTCCAGCTCAGCTCCGGAGTAAGTATAGCTCTCATCCAAAGCTAATCCCCTTTTTCTGAATCCCCTTGATTTTCTGCTCTTGGTTTTTTTAGACTGCAGCCACCACTTCCCCTGGCAGGAAGCGTGAGCGGTTCCCTGCAGTTTGGGGCCATCCTTTAATTTGGCCAGGGGTGACAGAAGCCCAGCCTGAAAGGTGAT